AGGAAGGCCTGGCCGTGGCACTCAGTGCTCTGGGCTGGGGGACAAGGTGGACATCAGGCACAGGGGGGACTGGATGACCTTGGAGACCTTTTCCAAGCTCAGTGAGCCTGTGAATTCTGCGAGTTCTGTTTTCCTGATGCTTTTGCCCCTGTTGTCTCACCCCCAGCAGCCCCCCCGTGCGAAGGGGGCCGTGTTTGCCGCGGTCACTCCGAAGTCACCGTGACAAACCCGGAGCCCTTCGTTGTCCCAGCAGAAGAAATCAGAGCCCAGCTCTGCAGTCCCCACTGTCCCTCCTCCCTGACCCCACTCCAAAGCTTGGCTGTAGGTGGGGTTTGTGCCACTGCTTTGTTCCCAAAGTCCTCTTTGAGCCCTATTTGCCCAGCTGGTGTCAGCTCAGGGCTCTGTTTGGATTGCTCCGGAGAAAGATTTGCCTGAAAGGTTTGCATATTCCAAGAAACCACAATGATTAAGTACACACGAAAGAAAGCATTATGATGAATAATCAGGACATAATCAATGATACCCTTTCTGCATTATAAATGATGACGCTTATACTCAACAGCTTTTAGGCAGAGCGTGGGTGTGACAGCTTGAAAAACAGTGTAGAGCATGACATGAGACCTGTCAGCTCTTAAATGAGGTAATTAATGACCTGCTAAGCATGCAGATTTTAAATGTCAGTTAGTTTTTTTTTTTTTTGAAGCATCTCAGTAAAAAGATTATTTGCAATTTATCATTTTATTAGTAAAAAACTCCGGGTAAGAGCGCCGTGAGAAGTAAGAGCGTTATGACAAAAATGCTTTGTGCTTTTAGCAGTAAAATATAAAATCAAACCTCCCTCTGAGGTTCCTCTCACTCAACATCCTCTTCAGTGTATCTCAGCTTTATTTTCTGTAAACAGGCACTGCCTGGATTTTCAGATGCTGTCCTCGAAGCCAGAACCAGCTGCTTAAAGCTGAGGCTCAGAAGAAAAGCAGGAATGAATTTCTTTTGCCAGATGTCGGTTCCTAATCCTGCCAGGTCTGAATTCATGTGACCCCCTCCTTCCAGGATTTGTCTGGTGTGGGGAAAAGCACAGGTTTCAGTTTTAAGGGAAGTTTTTAAGCCTAATTCTTAATCTGAATTCATGTGACCTCCTCCTTCCAGGATTTGTCTGGTGTGGGGAAAAGCACAGGTTTCGGTTTTAAGGGAAGTTTTTAGGACGTGGGTTGATGAGTCTCTGGGAGCTGAGACACCGAGCTGTGGCTCCCCAACTGTTGCAGCTCTGTAATATTTTTAGCATTTTATTTTTGGGCAATAGTGGATACCAGATGAAAAATGGAAAGATTTCTTCTCCACAAAAAAAAAAACAAACACCTTTAAATATCCTCTTCTACTTCATGGATTAAAGAGGGATTTTGGCAAGACTCCACATGGTGGGAGACTACGGGGTTGTACCCATGGAGCGGGACCTGCTCATCCCAGACACACTCAGTTTGTCAACTCAAGCTTCCACCTGTTGGAAGCCAGGAAACCCTGGTGGAATCCCTCAACTGTGGCCAGGAAATTCTTCACTCAGAAGGTGAGGAGGCCCTGGCCCAGGTTGCCCAGAGAAGCTGTGGCTGCCCCTGGATCCCTGGAAGTGCCCAAGGCCAGGTTGGATAAACTTGGAGCAACCTGGGCTGGTGGAAGGTGTCCTTGCCCATGGACCGAATGATCCTTAAGGTCCCTTCCAGCCCAAACCATTCCATGATTTGATCTCTGATGGCTGAACCCTTGGAATACTTCCAAATCAGAGTTAATGTGCCACTGGCAGAGTGTGCAGAGCCTCCCTGCATTGTCACCCTCAAACAACGCCGTGAGTTTGTGTTCTGGTACAGTAAATCTTCCCTTTTATCATGGGTTTGCATCCTGAATGTTTAAAACAAACAAGGCACTGAAAAGGTGGATTTTAATCTCTCTAATGACACCCAAAATACAGGGTGAAGATTATGATTTAACAAAGATTATTTCCTAAGTGCTGACTTAAGGTTGTGTTTACCCTCTGCATGCACAGTGAAATCTCGTTCAGGTGCTTTAAGAAATGAAAGAAAGTGTTCAGAACACTTCGTGCCAAGAGTTGTAACCACTGAAAACTAATTTTAATCCTGGCTTAAAACCCAAAATGCCCAATTTTGTTTAGATGTGAGTCTTGTATTGTTCATGTGACCAGTAACAGCAGCTTTGCCAACTCATTATAATAAGATTTTAATGAAAATTAACATCCAAATCTTGCAAGGCTCGATGGGTATTTTTTTTCTCGGGGAAGAGGAAAGGATGCAGGTCTTCTTCAGCCTTCTTCCCAAGGCAGAACTGCCCTGATCCATCAGAACATTGTTCCAGTGGGATGCCTCCAACTCCAAGCTTTTGTTACCAGCGTGGAACTCAGTTTATTGGTTTGAGCTGCACAGAAGAAAAAAGAATCAGCAGTAAAACAAACCACAAAAAATAGGAAGCATTGGTGTCATAGAAGAGATTGGATTTCATTTGGTGAATATTTTTTGGAGTGTTGTGTTGGCTGCTTGTTGTGGAAATATGGGAATCTTCAGCTCTGGCAATGCATTGGGATGAGTAGGAGCCTTCCTACTTCCTACTGCATCCAGATGTGGGATCCCAGCCCAGCAAGGACATGGAGCTGCTGGAGAGAGTCCAGAGGAGGCACCAAGAGGATCCCAGGGCTGGAGCAGCTCTGCTGGGAGGAAAGGCTGGGAGAGCTGGGATTGTTCAGCCTGGAGAGGAGAAGCTTTGGGGGGACCTGACTGTGGCCTTGCAGGGCCTGAAGGGGCTCCAGGAAAGATGGAGAGAGACTATTTCCAAGGGCTGGAGGGACAGGACAAGGGGGAACGGCTTCAAACTGACAGAGAGTAGGGTTAGGTGGGATATTGGGAAGGAATTCTTGGCTGTGAGGGTGGGGAGGCCCTGGAATAGAATTCCCAGAGAAGCTGTGGTGGTGCTGGGTGATGATGGGACTGGATGATCTTGAAGGTCCCCTCCAGCCTTTACAATCCTACCACTGTGTGATCACCCTGTAGAGGTTTTGGCCTGAGGTCTGCAGTGACCTCACCATCACATTGCCCTCATCAAGAGCCACTGTTTGAGACCTGATTTTATTTAGTGCTTTCCAAAATCACATCCTTGAGCTTTTGGTTGACCACAGCTGAACTGTGTTTCTTTGCCCTCTGATTGACAGAAATACCTGGGGCTTTTCTCAACCATTCAGTTCACATTTGTTTTCTCGAGTTAAACCATAGGCAAGTCAACAGGAAAGTTTTCTTGATGACCCTCCTTCTCTTCAAAGATGACAGGAACATGCTCGTGGGGATGAATCATAGAATCATGGAATATCCTCAGTTGGAAGGACCCACAGGGATCATCCAGTCCAATCCCTGGCCATGCCCAGGACACCCCAACACTCCCCCCTGTCCCTCAGAGCG